AGAGATATAGAGAGAGAGAGAGAGAGAGAGAGAGAGAGAGAGCGGAAACCTAGAGAGTTATTTATCAAAATTTTACAGTCTCTATTTTTAATTCAGACCTGGCCAAGCAAGCCAATACCACGGCTCTGTGGCTGGGAGCCAGACGGGTTAGTATCTGTATCGCGTAAACTAAAGGAACCTAAAAGACAATACTACCATTTTAGGGCACTAACGGAAAATTTGAATGGATCGATCAGTCGAAATGGGATAATGCCTACTGGTCAGTAACCGGCCCATCAACCTCTGGAACCGATAAGAATTGTCTGGTGTAAGAGGCTTTTTAAATTGATTGTGAAACCTCCAAACAATATCTGCTAATTTGCCCCTGAACCATCTTATTCAGCTGTTCGGCAAGGTGGACAACGATGCGACAATCCTGCACCGTTGGGCCGAGCACGATTGCGGCGGCACCGCGATGGGCGTTTGCAAGAAGGTCAGTTACGATTTCCTGTGTAAATTTGAACGAGTTTTAGCCCGGAAAGCCGAAAGCCTGAATGCGCCCACGAAATAATAATATCAACAAATTTTTATGGAATAAATGAATTTATGGCAAATTTGCTTACGAAATACCTGCGGGAATGAAGAGCAGCAGCTATGAATTGATATTGCACCGGTTTTAAAAAAATAGTTTTTGCTATTTCGGTCATTTTCGCGTTTTAGGTGACAGGAAATTTTTTATTTTTTAGCTTCATTTTAATTAGAAGAAAAGTGTGAGGAGTACGTTTGTAAATCATAGTTTTGAATCGATCAAAGTCCAAAGATCAATCTCACGATTTCAAAGCCCAAAATAAAAGCGTTTTTTGAATAAATTTGTCTGGCCACCCCAGGACTTTCCCCTCATAAAATATTTTATTCATGCAACAGTAAAAAAAATCGGGTGCGTCGAAACGAAAACTGGGAAAAGACCAAAAAGCAAAACCCTTTCGCAGAGATGCTAAAATTGTTGGGCTTCTTAATTCTTGTAATAGCGGCTGTGGCCGAGGTAAGTAATTTGCGGTCATTAATATCTTATGAAATCAAAGAAAAACATCTAGCACTACTTTAGAACTGCGAGCCAGGCTGGAAACAGTCGCTGATCACGAGGAATTGCTACAAGGTTGTAAAAACTGTACTGAAAAGATGTCCATGTTTAGGTCACCGAAAAAAAGGACAATTTCCGGACGGCAGCGAGGGAATGCGCTGACCATGGCGCAGAGGTCACTACAGTTTTGCATGACGAGGAGAAGCAAGCGCTAGTTGGTGGGAAATAACAGACCAAAAGTTTCAAGATGTTTAGGGATTATCGCGGAGAAGATTCCAAAACAATCGATATGGATTGGGAGCATGAAGGTAGGGATCTACGCATACTATAAGACTTTTCTATGGTATCGAAAGGTAGGCTTGCGGTAATCCTCAAGGATATCTTACGGAGCATAGGTGTCCGTGGCTAGTATACCTATCTTAGATCGCTTGTTGTACTTACTTACGTGTAATAGCTAGTATACTTTAGCGCACGGAGCTTTACTTTTAAAACAATGTCGGTCTTGAAGACCTCTTTTTGTATTTCATAGTATATCTTGTTTATTGCACAGCAGAAGCCCGGGTATTTTTGATTAATTTTTGCAATAGGTATATCATAATTACGTATCTGATTTCATTTTCAGTATATTATAGCTTTTTTAAACGGATTTCTTAGGTTATAGCGGGGTTTTTTTAGGGGGGGGGACTACTGAAAATAGCTTTAGATAGCAACGGAAAGCTTTTTCACGCTATTTTGATTTTTGACGATCTATTATTTGGGTCTAAGTATACCTTAACTGGCAATCAATGATTTTTTGAGATGTCCAAAGACCACGACGCCCCGAAGGACTATTGGATGAATGGTGAGGAGCAGGCGTATTCAACCTGGGGCGATCCGTGGCAAATTCCCGGCTTCTTTTGCACGTTATTGAGTGTAGGGGGTACCTTATGTCGCAGACTGGCTTGATTTTTCCAGCCCAATGGCATAATGCTGCACCAATGGTGCCAGGCCAGGCTGATGCACGGCATCTGTAAACGTCCCTTCGGAACGAAGACGCCACGCCTGAAAGAGCCAAACTGTGAGGACGGATGGACGGGGTCGAGACATACCGGGAAATGTTATAAGGTAAGCTTTTTAAAGAAAAAAACCCGAATTATGGAGTGGTGTACGATAGATTTCGCTCGAAACTTTTTGCGTATATAAATCCTCTATCCCCTTCCATATTCTATTTTAATGCCGTTTTAGCTAACGGGTAACAAGACCAACAGCATGGGCTTCCAAGAAACGTGCTTGAACTGGAATGGCAAAGGCGCTTCGGTGATCTCGTACCTCGAGAAGGAGTTTATCATCGGTAGGTAACTTGGAACTACTTGGATGGTATCTGGCGTAATTTTTAATAAATTGCAAATCTATCGTCGGTTTTACTTTAATTTTCTATCTTTCAGAACTAGCCGAGTCCAACGGCTTCAACAGCGCTTGGCTGGGAGCAAAGAGGGTATAATTTTAGCGTGAATTCTAACGGTATTAGGGCCCAAACGGCAAATTTGCTTGGCTCGACGGCAACAAGTTCGATGGGGCATATTGGTCAACCGATGGCCCATCGACTTCCGGCAACGATAAAAATTGTTTAGTGGTGAGGAAAAAAATCATATTTGATTCTCGGTATTCTCATTATTATCTTTCCTATTCAATCGTTTTTTTTAGCTCTACAGCCTGCACTTCGACCATCTGGATAGTGGACACCGTTGGTCGGCGGCGGACTGTGGGAAAAAGGATGCGGTTGGGGTTTGCAAGAAGGTACCAGGTATCAGCTAATCTCTAAATGGCTTTTAGGACCCGATCGGTGGAGTAACGGCTTAAAAGAAAGGTTTTTGGATTGAATAAAACTCTTTGGTTTTATTACTTACTTTTACATTGCATACTTGGCGCCGGGCGCCTGGCATGCAGGTTGCAAACGCCGAATTGGTCCCATCACTCGGACTTTCTGCAAGGAGTTCAATGTAGAGTACCGAGACGATACCTTGCTCTGTGGTACTGACCGCACCAAAATTCAGGCACCAATTTTTGGGCTACACTTTACTTTACCCCCCGCCCCCAGCCGGAATTTTTGGCTATAACTTTTTATTTTACATTATTGTAGGTTCAAATTAAAACTCTTAGTATATTTTTCGACGCTCGATCGAATGGTGCATTCAATATCAGGACAAAACCAGCGAAAATACCGGAAATTTGTGACCATTTGGCTGTGGGGGGGGGGGGTAAGGTAAAGTCTTACAAATTTTTGTGTGGGGCGGGAATTTCTTCTCGTTTCGGCGCAAATCGTTGGCTCGAAAACGAAAATGCTCTTTGTAAAAATCAGAGCTCGTCCAGGTTTCTCTGCTCCGAAAAGGACTAGCTCAAATTACGATGTTGGTATGGCAAACGGAAGCTTACGATATGCAATTGCCTTGTCAGCTCTGTGGCTATTCCGCAAATTCACGAGACTTGAATGCTGACAGATACATATCACTTTGCAGTTTTCGCGGTGGCAAAGAAAAACTTTCATCAGACTTTCATGGGGGTCGATGAACCGATAAGTGCATATCCAACTGCATACGGTTCGCAGATTTTGACCAGAAACCGAAGCTCTTGAATAAGACCTAGCAGCCTAAATGAATATGCAGTACCAGTAGATGCGGTACAAATAGCGGGGTCGCCCAGGTATCGGTGGCGCCCGGTTACAGGACTCTCAAAATGTTCAGGCGGCTCATATTTTTGGGCGTAGCGGCCATGGTCTTTGCTGCTGATGTTGGTTGATTCTGGAGACCTGGCCTATAGTTTTTTTAAGGAATGTGAAGAGGGGTGGTTACTGAAGAGGGGTTCAAAGAGCTGCTACAAGGTTTGTCGATGACTTGGAGCTTTGGTCTTCACTTCATAACTTTAGATCATGGACGGGACAACCTTCTGGGACTCGGAGTTCAAGTGTGCCCAACTGGGCGGTCATTTGACTTCTGTATTGAGTGATGAGGAGAATCAGGCATTGCTTGGTTGGTTGTTACGACAAAATTTCGTTGCTAACAGCGCCTATTAAGACCTGATCACGAACGAGAACGAGGGTATGATGGTGTGGGTCGGAGCCTTGGCGGTTGGTTACGCTCAAGGAGTATTTGACTAGAATGCGGAGAATTTTCAGCAGCGGATTTCTGCTAGTTTTAATAATCGTTAGAATTTGGTTGGATATACAGAGCTTTTTTCAGTACTCTCGCAAGGCCGGGCCCCGGGTGAACCACTGGATGGACGGGAGTGAGGCCAAGTTCGGGAACTGGGACCCGGCGCCCGACTACCAGAGTGAAAAGTATTGCGGAACCATGTTGGTATGTTCTCTCAATTTTTCCTATTTGTATTCTCATCTGGCTTACTCAGCAAACAAATAAGAAAGGCAAATTTTTGCTTAAATTTCTCCAGCTACTTCAAGTAGAATTTTGTTGAAAACATGAAATGAAGACAAAATTTGAAAGAGAAAGAAAAGAAGAAACCCCCGAATTTTTACCGTTGACCCTAAAACAAACGCGTAAAAACTTCATAACCACAGACAACGCGGGCTTCAGTCGTGCAGAAAACCGGAAAAGCCCGACAAGCAAAATAGCTGTTTAAAAGGGGAGCGGCATTTGAAAAAGCGTCAAAAAATGCGGAAACTTTGTCCTGACGGGATTTTCACAGTCGTGATTTTGTCTGTTGGGATTATGACTGGAGTTTTATTAAAACCTAGGTACAATTGGGAAAGCCCGTCCGTACGTTTAAGCTATGAATACACGAGTTTTCAGCCAAGCGGAAAGCTGCAAATGAGCGTCTGCCACGAGCTAAAGAAGGGCCTTTGCAAGCGTGCAATTGGCCAGGTACCGTCCATAAAACGCCTTGATAATAGACTTTACTAGGAGGCGCCCACTTTCACCAAGCCCGCGTGTGAAGTCGGCTGGTCGGGCTGTCCGCTGACTGGATTCTGCTATAAGGTTTGTCCTATTTTTTATATAGGGTACCACGGCTCGGAGAGAGAGAGAGAGAGAGAGAGAGAGAGAGAAAGAGAGAGAGGGCGAGAAAGCGAGAGAGAACACGTGAAAGAGAGCGAGAGAGAAAGAGAGAGCTAGAGAGAAAGCGAGAGCGAGAGAAAGAGAGGAGATCGGTACCAAATGTAATAAGGCATAAATAATAACAGTTGCGTACTCTACATTCGACTCTATTTTCAGACGACCAACGGCAGGTCGAACAGCGGTGCTGCTCAAGAATATTGTCTGTCGCAGGATGCCAATCTCGCATCGGTGACGTCGTTTTTGGAGAATGAGGCTGTGCTCCGTACGCAGATGTTTTTGAATTTGGAATGATGCGTGTTTAGGCACGGCTCAGGAGGGTGGATACCAGAAGGTGTGGCTCGGCGCGAAAAAGGTAAATGAGCAATTACAATTTCTACATAAGAAGTAGCAGGAGAAGTCTGGATAGCTCATTTAGTCAGAAGCCATTATTCGTTTTCATGGAATAACCAAGAGATCGTGCCAGATCACATCACCTCATTTCAGGTAGCCATGGGGCGGTGGACCTGGTCCGACGGCACCCCATGGGATGTCGAATTCTGGAACCCGTCGACGTCCTGGAATCAGACAACCAATTGCGTTGGGGTATGGCAAAGAAATCGGCTCGTAAAGAAAGTTTTTGACATTTTTAGAGTTATACCGAGTCCACAGACGCGGCGAAACCCGATGATAGAGAAGTCCACCGCTGGCATGCGCTGGACTGTGATGCGAAGGACCTGGTTGGAGTTTGCAAAAAGGTGAGACTCCCATTATCAGCCCCCTGCCCGCACAATCTGGCAAAATCGCCGTGATAATTTTAAAAAATACAACTCAGATGTATGCTTATGCGCTGGCCTGTTATGATTAGCTTTTTAGGTTGCTTTCCTGGTAAAAACCCAATAGAATTGTTCGAAATCGATCAATTGTACCAGATATTACCTGTATTTTGGTCGATGTGAAATAGGCCCTGTTTGATTATAAGCCAAGCTTCACGGTAATTAAAAAAAAAATAGAAGATTTAGGTTTATACCCTCCGAGTACAGGATCTTGCATCATCAAACGTTGCCGTTTTTAAAAAGCATAATTTTCAAAAGCAGCTTTCAGGCACCCGGCTCGACTCCCAGCAAAGAAACGAGGGCCTAATTTACGATAAATTATTATTACAAACGACATAACCGATGAGGAAATATAGCTTTAGTATTTCGAAAACAGATGCTCAGGCAGGCGGGCCTTTGGGTTTTGCTCACATGGGTCGCGGTCTCGATGATGGTCCTGAAAAAATTTATAATATCAACATTTTGAGATGTATAGTTTTCGACAGCGTTAATGATGTGTAAAAATCAAATTGGCGGTCCGCAGGATTTAAAAAAATAGAAACCTTGTCTTCTCGTCCGTGACTAAAGTCCTTCGATCTTTTCACGCCCTCATCCTTCATTTGGACCCCACCGCGATCCTCGAGCTGAATTGACAAAATTAGCGGTCCTAGGTTGTATTTTCAAAGATTTTTTTGCGATCGTATCCATAAATTCAGATCGTGGTATTTCAAAATATAAATAAACGCACCAATCCCTTGCCCAACGGCTCATTCAAGTTGTCCACACGATTATCGCGAAGTGACATTATGGTGGCAGGTTTTTAATGCGCTAAAATTTTTATTATAGTTTGACGACCAGCGTAAAACTAATAAAACACAGATAAAAGAGTTTTATATCAGCACGTAAATAGAGAAAAATGTTTTAAAAAACTAATGGTGTCAAGAACAGCGGTAAGGCTGGGCATGTAACAAGTCAAATGTTAAAAAAGTGCATAGCGCGCTTCTCAAGGTAAAATAAATCTCGTATTTCGGAAAATCGCCACGGTGGGCCTTTTATAAGGGCAACTCGTTGTTGACATCCTCATAGTCGTCAATTTGTTGACCATCGCATGCTTTCAGCGCCTGTCCTTTTTGTTTTCCGGATAGTGCCGTTGGTCAAAGGGCATGAAATTTGAATGCTGGCAAAATATGTTCGCGTAGGCGCCGTTATGCAAATTAGCGCTACGGCACCCTCGAAATTTGGCAAAACCCAAGCATGGAAAAATAAGCCGATAGGGCTGATTTGACGGAAACTAGGAATCGATTAAAAAAACTGAATCACTAATTGTTTAAATTCAGGATTCATTCAAGAAACTTCATTGGTTTTCGCAATTAGCATGCGTCCGCTCTGTCGGCTCAGCCGATCAGCTTGGCCGAAATCTCTTTTTTTCGGCCCCAGAAAGAGCGAAATGGCCAAACGAAATTTAAAGGTAGTCTACTCTCGTTTGAAGGGTCTAACTAGGGAGGTATCTGAACTCGGCATCGAACTTTGAGAAGTCAGATACACCATTCGACGCGCCTTGCCGAGGGGATTCCAAATATGTAATCAAATCAACCAGAGCGTATAACCGTAAAAAGTTATGAGCATTCGAAGTCGACAAAATGGTGGAAAACAGTATCTTTGAGACCCTGTATCATCCCGCGGAATGGAATTTCCTGGAACCCTGGAATCTAAACTGATTAGTGCCTTTTAGGGGTCACACAGTCAAGAAAAACTTATTCCCGAGATTGGAAATGCCAAAAGTAGAAACTGCTCAAAAAGGAAAAAAAATCGTGAGTGGATCCGAACCCTGGTCGTAGACCGGGGCCCCATGCGCACACCACTAGGCCACGGGGCCGATGAACAGGGTGCGCTGGGAGGTGCTCATATCGCCGCGGCGGTTTTCGCTGCAAAACTTAAAATGCTCAAACCTTTTTTCGTTATAGGCTCTGGTTGATTTTATTACATATTTGGAATCCCTACGACAAGGCGCGTCGAATCGTGTATCTGACTTTTCAAAGTTCGATGCCGAGTTCAGATACCTCCCTAGTTAGGCAAATTCTGTTTTATAACGTCAGGTTTCGGTATGTGCTAAAAGTGGCGCAAAACTAGCTACGGCGGGATCTTCTTTACGACACCGATTAGCCCACGAACTTCGGCTGGGGCGATAAGCCAGAGCGACCTTTGGTACTGCCGGCTACTACGGTAAGAATCTGCAAGTAATATTTCGAGAGCCAAGCTTATTGAATATGGATGAAAACACACTGGTGGTGTCCGAATTTTCGATTGTATGGAATCCAAAGTTTCCGCAGCCAGTCGACAACATGGTGGTCGAGCTACACCTCCTACTGCTACTCATGCTCACTGTTTCGCAAGCTGAGGTTGTGCACTGGATTGGTCGCTTTAAACAATCCGGTAAATTTAGAGCTGCAAGGTGGGCAGCCTGATCGAGCAGGGCGGAAAGTATTGCTATCAGGCGAGTAGAAAAATTAAAATCACAAAATGAATAATTTTGCAAGCGATTTTCAAAAATTTTTAGCCCGTCTTGAAACCGGGCGGCAGCATGACGTATGCCGAGGTGACGGACAAGTGCACGCAACTTGGCGGCAAACTCGGATCCGTACATTCGGCTGCCCAGAATCAAAAGATTATAGGTACCTCTAATTTGCTAGAAAATTCAGAAAATAGTTCAGAGGTACTATGGGGCGCGGTAAGGCCCGAAATGTTGGAAATTCCACTTGCTAAAGTCTTAAAAATCGCATCTGAAAATTAAGTCCGGCGCTAAAACCCCCCAAGAAAGCCTATATTCACCATTTCAGAATTAGCGCGCGGGGCCCTGGCCAACCCAAACAACGGTGGCGGTTGCAAGATGCTGCTCGGTGCATCGAGCGTGAGTGGTTCAAATTCGGACCATAAAAAAACAAATAACTGTACAGTAGACCTCCCGAACCCCCCTAAACCCCTCTAAACCCCCCTCCCAACCTCCCTCTGTGTCCGTCTGCGTCTCTCCTCTTGCCCACTATTTCGCCTCTCTCGCGCGAGATAGTGGGGAAAGGGGGAGAGCGCAGAGGGGGGTTGGGAGGGGGTTTAGGGGTTAGGGGGTTCGGGAGGTCTACTGTACAGGGTGTCCCAATAAAAAACGTCCCGCTAGCTCGGCGAAAAATAAGGTAGAACTGATAGTTACACCCTTCGAAAGTTCTTGAAACGGCGAGTCTGCAACAGCCATGAAACAGTTTCTAAAAAATTAAAGAACACCTGTTGGATACTTACCGTCATTTTGCTTGAGAAACTCGCAGCAAACTGGCTCGTATGCAACCTCGAAAATGCCAAAAATTTTGTGGTTTGTACTGTAGCTAGTCGAAATAAAAACATGGTTTTGAATCCACATTGCAAACTAGCCGTTTCAAAGGCTTTCGAATGGTGTAACTATCGTTACGATCCGATACTTCTACGGTGAGTTAGCGGGTTTTTTTATTGGGGCACCATGTCTCTGTCTCTTTATTAAAGCGTCTCTTTAGAAAAAAGGTGGCGATTTCCGCTGGATGGACGGGAGCCCGATGGACTACACGAATTGGGACGTCGGCGAGCCGGACGGGAAGGCAGGAGATCCTGTTGATTGGGGCGATGAGTTTTGCATTCAGGTTAGAGTGGTTCTTAATGCTGCCGGAACAAAATACAGAAATTTTTTCCAAGATAACTATGAACATTTTTATCCATTGCAGATGTACGTGAAACTCTGGAACGGCTATGAGGGTCAGGGCGGAAAGTAGTGGATTTGAGTGATAAAAGCTACATCCTGACCTAGGGACTACGTCGGAAAATGGCTGGACCTCGGATGCCAATTCCCGGTTTACTGCATGGGGCTGTGCCAGATTCCGGTACGTTTCAAGTTTTCCACGGGTTCAGAATGTCTGAAAAAGCCATATGCAGAAAAGACGGCATGATGAAAGTTTCTTGATTTTTCCTGACTCACAGAATCTTTACAGAATGAAGCAAATGGATGAAATGAAACGATTGTTCGATTCGATTCGATTGAATAAATGAATTTACAATGTTTCTATCTCATCTCTAGCACAATCAGCAAAAGTCGTCAAACAGGTTTCGAGTAGGTTCCCAGCCCAGCCGCTGCGATTCCTAGTTTTTCGTCAAAATTTCCTCTCGGCCGGCCGGGATGTAGTTCTGTAGAAATCATGGGCTGGTCAGATATTTTGCTAATTCCAAACGCCACTAACAGTAACGCGACGTTACATAGGCTGGAAATTTGATTCGCGACCTAGCTGATCATGTGCAGAAGTTTTCACCGATTCCGAATCTGTTTTCCAAATTTCCGGAGAAACCCGATTTCAAAATTGAAAACCTTTTGTTGGCCTTTTGCTGTTAATTGAAACACTGTCCTGATTATTCTAGAAAACTTGTAGAGTACTTTTTGGAACAACGCATACGACGGCCTGTGGTCAAAAATATGCTCTTTGAAATTAGCAACTTCATTGTCAGAACCGACATTTGATAGTTCAGGAATAAAATATTTACCGGCGTCAAGCCGCCCGGATGGCCTGAAAATCTTGGCGAGTCACAAAATTCGGAATCAGCTAAAAATTCTGCACCAGGTAAGCTGATTTTCAAATAGAATTTCTAGTCCAATTTAAAACACCGTAGTATGTAAGTACGATTCTCGTGGCATCAATTTTGCTGAAGCCAACCCCGCCCTCAAATAAAACAAGACCAACGGTCAGAGTTCACCGCTCTTTGAGAGTATCTCTTTGCATCGTGATTTTTGTATGTCTGATGTATAAAGACAACCGCCGCTTGGCTCACCTACCAATCGCCAACCGAAATGGCCAGGTTATGGGCGCTCTTGCTGGGATGTTTTGGCTTTTCAATGTCAGCTGTAGGTTTTACTCTAACAAGGAAAACGTTTTTAGTAATCAAGCGATTCACCTCATCGCCTAGTATTTTCAGATAATCTACCCAAGTAACCTTAGTGTCGTACCAGCACCGCCCAGAAACCCAACTACGGTCAAAACAACGGTCCTGCCAAAGGTATGCCATGTAAAGTGCGCACTATCCCTATCAATTAAAAAGTTGTGGCGTCTGTCCGTCATGTCCCGAATCCAACACGAAGGGGAAGGAACTAGAACTTAGGTCTCTTCGGATTCGGATAGAGCGCTGTCAGAAACCCCCAAACCGGTAAGAAAAGCTTTTAAAAACTTCATTTTCATATTTAAAAATATATTTTTGTAATCTGGCAGTAAAAACGGCTAGTTGCACGATTTTGGGCATAGTGAGCCAGGTCGCGCGCGTTTCGGCGAGGGGAGAGAGCGCGGTGGGGGGTGGCCCGAAGCCCAGCCGCTTGTTAAGGGCTGGTGTATATAATGTATCAAAGGTACCAGCCCACGCTTCAGAACCTGAGTTACCCCTTTAAAGTTTGCTATCAGGCTCTTCGGCCCATAAGTACAGGGTGTCCCAAAAAAAACCCCCCCCCCTCTAGCGGTCCGTGGGAAGCTCCGATCAGGATAATTTTTATACCATTCGAAAGCCCGCGAAAAGGCAAGAAAACAAGCGGGCTTCATTTTCTATGATTTATTCTGATTCGTCCGATATTCAGCGTTTTTCTAAAAAACAGGCAGCTTTTCAATAGGAATTTCGCAATTAGCATGCAGATCTCGCATAAATCAGCAGTTTTCATGGTTTTTGGACATAAAATTAGCAAATAAAAAGGCTTAATTAAGAAATTCAACCCTCCTTGTATTCTCGCCTTTTCGAGAGCTTTCGATAGATACCTAAATCGTAACAATCGGAATCGACTGCGGAC